CAACAACAACAACAACAACAACAACAACAACAACAACAACAACAACAGCAACAGCAACAGCAACAGCAACAACAACAAAAAAAACAACAAACAAACAAACGTGATCTTCAGGGTTTGTGCATTGTGATATGTCACCACACAATTAGCAAGTAGTACAGAACCTGTTTCAGGGTATTAAATGGATTGAGAAGAACGTGTTCATGCGACTTGTTGGGCGCAGTACCGTGATATCTTGATTCTGCTTCATGTTCTGTCTACATACAGACTTGATTATTAAATATCACTATACAATAATTATACATGATTCCATGATACCTACAACATCTACAATCCAACCCACTAGGATGCAGCTCCAGATCCTTCCCAGCACGCGATCTCTGCTCCCTTCAAACTCTCAACCCAGCGAGATTCATGTGGTTTCACCCAAGGCACCGGTAGATTCTGATAGCCCCTGAGGTGGTTTGTGTTTCAAAGGAACGATCCAGCGATGTCCCAACGATCCGCCTGGGGTGCTCCGTCAATGAATGCCTGACGATGCCGATGCCAAACCAGGTCGCCAGGTGAGATTCTTCATTCGTTATGTCAAGACTCTGTATAGCCTGCCTAGCTGTGACTTATAAAGCTATTGCTTTAAACATCAACCATGAGATAAGGGGACATTCATGGACATTCAATGGTTGGTATCAACCTACCGTTCTAAGTTCTATGTTACGCGGCCGTGAGTTAGACTGGGCAGGCTAAATGATTCGTTTCGGACATGGCTTTCCACCCTGTTCTCCTGGCCTCAAAACAGTTCTCAAGTTCTCAAGGGATCCGCAGCAAAATATATACACTTGACACGTCTTGCCAAATGAAAAAGCTCGAGGTTGATCCATCAACATATTCTCCTGCCCAACACTCCCCAGAACCACCGGGCACTTCCTGCGCCTGCCCCCCCGCCGGCCCCCGGTGCCGGCTGGAAGACCGCGAACGTTCCCGGGCGAACGTGGCCCGCTGGGGCTCCCCGCAACAGCAAACTTGTGCCTGAGAGCCCCCGGCACGTAGCAGCAGCGTGGGGACTATTTTTTCTCCAAGAAGCATTCGGACATTGACGCCAGGAAGGACGAGGTTCCTCTTCAAAAAGGGGGGGTTGTCCACTTCCATGGTTGTTGGAGGTTGGAGATGGAAGGAAGATCATAGACCCTTCTCGTGGTTGGATCTTTGCAGATCACCGAAATAATAGGGGGTCATCAAAGAGCCCAACTGTGCCCAGAGCTTTATCAAGCCTTCTGATATACCATGATATACCATTACTCGCACACACAGGTGTAGGACGGTGTACATCCGGCTACTCTGCCAGCAAAAAGGCGCTCCTCTGGGCATCTTCTGCCCCGCCGGCCACATCTTCTCCAAACCCACCCACCGTTTCACTGGGTCATCGCCACCGTTTCGGTGCCCATCTTCTTGCTGGACTTGATCGCGATCCTGGGCTGGATGGACCGGGCGATGGGTATTCCTGATCCATTCGTCAACCAACCAAGACCCTAACTCAGCCCATCTATCGGCCCCATCATGTCCCATCTGCTTCTTCAGCAGGTGCTAGGATGCGTAATAAATATTGGGAGAGTGATTGGTCGATCATGTAGACATTCATAACCTCCCCCCATATGGATTGTAACACCTATACAGTACATTAGAATTTGACATTCCACGGACCCTTGAGATTTGTACAATTCAGGTCAAATAAGGTTGGAATTGTGAAGCGCATATATTTGAGTGTTGATGCCTTTTCACAAATGAAAACATCTCCAGTGCGGCACCACTTCCAGCTCCTTCCCCCATCTTCCCTTTGCAAGCCTGGGAGCGCGCAACCAAACCAAACAACCCTCCACGCCGCAAAAACCCTTTCCACGCGCCTTTGCGTGCGAGGAACAAACAAACACAAACACATCATCTTTCGCGCCAGGACACGTTTTCTCATTGTGGGGCGACTCAGAGAGTCGATGATCAATGAGCTGCGCCGCCATCTCCTTGTGCCTGTCCTGCGTGTCGGGGAAGAGTCGGAAGGGTCGAGCGGCTCGCGGCTGCACGGACGAATTTGTCCCCAATGAAGCAGCTCCCATGCATCATGGTAAGCTGTCAAATCACGATCTGGTGATTAAACATCGCTCTCAAGGGACTCCCTTCAGAAAAGGTTGATGAATAAAGTGGACAAAGAATTTCAACATAGTTCAACCTTGAACAACCTTGAATAAGCATGTTTGCATCTCTGAAACTGTTGCCTATTGCATCCGTTTTTTCCCCCTCTGCATGAGCCAAACAGCGCCCTGTGTGGGCGCTCTGGGGCTCCGGACACTGGTGGCATTGGTTCTCAAGTACTGAATCCACTCCTGCGAACGGCCAAGTGTGCACTTCGAAGGATGCCCTGGTCTTGCAAATGCTGCAAAGGCCTGTTGCGAATTATTTTTGTTTGCCTCTTCAATTGGTAAGGTCCCACATTCTCCCTTCAAGCTCTGTCGGAGATGAGTAGGCTGGTTGTATCTTGGAAGCCTCCTTGTGAGCTAGAAAAACTGTAACGAACGATGTCTACTTTTTGGATCAACCTGGCTGAAGAACCATCTTCCGAACAGCCCTTGACCCACAGGGCCGCAAATCTGGCAAAACACCTGGGGATAAGATGTCTCATGATGTCTCTTATCTACACGTTGCAGGTTCTATCGTTGCACAAAACCAACATCAACCCCCAAAGACGTGGTCTAGAAAAAGAAAAACAGCGTTTTCTTGAAGGTCCATGTATGGTCATTCCCGTCAAGGCCTTCGGAACGACGTCCCGTCCTCATAGGAGATGTCGCCACTGCCGGTGAGATCGGCTTCTTTCATGATGCTTTCGACCTTTGAGAACCCCAGCGCGGTTCAGGTGTCCTTTGCTATCAGTTATCTTTGTTTTCTGAGTAGGGCATGACAATGTGGCTTGTTTGCTATCTTTCTCCGATACATGCACATATATCATATATCATATATCATTGATTATCAGATTATCATTGTATTATTATGTAGCCAAAATGTGTGAAAAGGGGAACACAAAAGAAAACTAGGTAGTTGTATCATCTATCGTCCAGCAAAAGGATAGGAACTAATCATGATTGGAAGTTGGACATTCGATGCTCGTGGCTCCAGGTTGTGGCTCCGGTTGTCTCTTTTTGCAGGTCATGTCCGTAACCTGGATAAAATCACATCAGGCTCTCCCAATTCACTTATATATGGGTTCATCTTCATGGATCAAATTGGCCTTCCGCCCTCACGACCGCAAAACAAAAATATAAAAAATATATATATATATATATAATAGAGAGGGGAGCGCTGTGAGCGGCGCGTTTTTCGATGAAAATGAGCATTTTTTAATTTTTTCATGGGTTTTCTTTGATGTGTCTGACATTGCCTGGAAGGATCTGTCTGTTAGCATTTGTCATCCATCAAGGATTCAGGAAACGCCATTGGTAGCATTCGTCTGCTGTAGTAAACTCCGCCATGCAGTCTGAAGATATGACGTATGATGATTTGCATGAGGTTGTCAATGGCCTCATTTGCAGGAGCATCGCTCCCATGTCGCTCCCTCTCCAGCCATGTGGCTCCTTCAACATCCTCACCTTCCCTATGAAGGAACTGAACGGAGGGGAAACAAACCTGGTCCATGCCTTTGACCTCATCCAGAACTTTCAGGGCGACATCAACTTTTCTGACCTCAGCACTAGCTACAAACTGGCATGCGAACGCAAGGATGACGGAAAGCGCTGTAGCGCTTGGAAGTATTACCGAAAGGGAAGGGGGGGTGGGGGGGGGCCAAGCTGATTTGCAGACTGCGAGGGCTTTTTTTTGCATGTTCGAAGGTCCATAAAACACTGTAATTTACAGTAAAAAGTGGCTTTGGATGGGTTTGTGTTGAGCTTATTTACCTTCAAAAAGTTGCATTTTACCTGCACGGGAGGCAATTTTTGAGGTTTATCTTCTTATCTCGCATTCGAAGGCTTTGAAGTGCAATGTGCATAAAACACTGTAAAAAACATGAAAAAATGAGGTCCCACAAGTGTAAGGAAGGTGTTTTTGAGAGCTTCTTTTTATAATTTGTTGCGTATGAAAGCTTGCTCCTGACGAGCACATCCATGATGTCAATACTGCAGTCTTCCCCAGGGAACATAACCAGCATCGCAAAGGTTTGGACAAGTGCAAGAAATGTGTTTGTGAGAGCTTTATTGCTTATGAAAGCTTGCTCCAGTTGGTGGTCAAATTTAGGCCAGGTTTGTGCAAATCTTCGGCGATCTTCAGGCATTCCTGGGCACATCCTTCTCCATCTTGGCGCGTTTCGCCCAATGTTGGGGCTCTCTTTGAGCCTTCTCGTGGAGGTATGTTGGAAGTGATTGGGGCCGTGGGGTCTAGATCAGGGCTCTGTTGAAGGCTTTGCTGCTGTTATGTCACTTGTTTTGCAGACATGCTGGTCCACTTGGCTGCTTTTTCTCTGGCGTTTGACTTGGGCAGGTGGTCCTTTGCGTAGTGCGTGTAAAACACAAAAAAAGACGTGAAAAGTGAGGTCCGACAAGTGTAAGAAAGGGCTTGACAGTTTTCTTGGTCGTTTTTGTTGCTTTGTCTTATGAAAGCTTGCTCCAGTGGGTGGTCAAATTCGGGGCACCTTTGTGCCAATCTTCGGCGATCTTGGTGCATTCTTGGGACATATCCTTTTCCATATTGGAGCACTTCACCCAATGTTGGGGCTCTCTTGAGGCTTCTCGTGGAGGTATGTTGGAAGGGGTTGGGGCCGTGGGGTCTAGATCAGGGCTATGTTGAAGGCTTTGCTGCTGTTATGTTTTGCGGCCATGTTGGTCCACTTGGCTGCTTTTTCTCTGCCCTGTTTGACTTGGCAGATGGTTTTTTGCGTACTGTGCGTAAAACGCCATAAATCCATGAAAATGAGGTCCGACAAGTGTAAGAAAGGTGGCTTTGACAGTTTTGTCGTTTTTGTTGCTTACGAAAGCTTGCTCCAATGGGCAGTCAAATTTGGGGCATGTTTGCACCAATCTTCGGCGATCTTGGTGCATTCTTAGGGCATATCCTTCTCCATGTTGGCACGTTTCGCCCAATGTTGGGGCTCTGTTGGGGCTTCTCGTGGAGGTATGTTGGAAGTGATTGGGGCTGTGGGATCTATGTTGAAGGCTTTGCTGCTGTTATTTTACTTTTTTGCGGCGATGTTCGTCCACTTGGCTGTTTTTCTCTGCCGTTTGACTTGGGCAGGTAGTCTTTTTGTGTCATGTGCGTATAACATCGTAAAAACCCGACAGACTTAGGTCCGACAAGTGTAAGGTTATATACTTGTTTTCTCTGCCGTTCGACTTGGGCAGGTGGTCTTCTGCGTAGTGTACGTACAACACCGTTAAAGCCATGAAAAAAAAAGGTCCGACTACCCAGCAATAAAATGCAGCTGCTCCGCTTTCCGTGTTTTTCCGAACTGGTTTGCAGTATCTTCCCGCCGCTTTTGGTCTGAAGGTTGAAGTCCCCAAGGAAACGACCATCCAAATCGTCATCATCAAAAACTCCGAGGGTGAAACCACTATCTTGAAGCATTTGGCCTTTCCGGGAAAAATCAAGGCAACCTTCTTCAAACAGCTCATCTACGGTGAGGGCTTTCAATCTATGTGGATGCAGCCTTCCCCCAAAGGTGGCAGGAAAATCTTGCAGTACTGCCTGGAGAACTTGGGTGGGCGTATCTTCAAGTGCTTTGAGCTCACTTCCCAGGCAAGTCGCAAAGGCCCAAAGCCCGACAGCAGCTTTGAGGAGAAGGACGATGATGACATCGATGCGGGCTTTGATCATATTCTCAAGATGGGCCCTCGCTCATCTTGTGAAATGGCCCAGCTCCGTTGGCAGACGAAAGAACTTCGCAACAAATCGTCTCCAATCTTTGGCTGGCCGGTAGCGTTGGTTAGTCAAGCTCTTCGGAACTTGGCTGCCGACGGAGCTTTAGCCCGCAAAGAGCATCATTGGCCATTACCACTCACGCCAAAATACTTCCGCGCGGAAGTTTTGAAGGCTTTGGAAGCCATTTGGGACTTTGACCAAGCTTCCTTGGTCATGCTCGGAGAGCCCGGTGGAGGGAAAAGCCCATTGGGCAGAAGTGTCCTGTTCGCACAGTGCCGCCACAACCTGGAGAGGTTCCAGGTCCAGGGGCAGCCTTGCATTCGCTGCGCCCCGGAATTAGATTTTCTTCGCGGCGAACCAGGATCTGTACTTATGGGGGATTTCCTGGACGACACCGCCCTGAACCTTCTGAGCATGAAACTTGTCAAGGCTTTTCTAGATGTCGGACTCTATGAAAGTATGGCCTGGGCTAGGTGGGGAGCCAGTAAGTGGGTTCAAAACGAACCCAGGGCTGTGGCAGACAACACCTATGAGGACTCCATCCCGCTTCCACCAGACTATGTCCTTGAAATCAACTTCACGGACTTTTACGACATGATCAAAAAAAAGCCTTCATCGACCAAGCTACCCGCACCCATATGGACGCCATTTTGAAGCGCGCCGCCTTCCTGGTGAACTCGAAGACTCATCTGTACTACCGCCGAGCAGGCATCAATGAAGACAAGGTTCCCCGCGTCGCTTTGTCAAGCGATGGGTTCTTGACAGCCGATGGCAAAAAGGTGTACGGTGAGTACAAGGCAGGCCAAAAGGAAATGCCTGAGGACTTCATGGAAGAGGTGAGAAAGGAACAGGAGTGGGTGAGCATCATCATGAACAAACGATTTGAGGAAAGGCGGATGAGCAAGCAGGAGGCCCGAGATCGAAAACATCTTCGCCAAGCCCTGTTTGGTGACAAGCCGAAAGAGGAATCTGCGCTAGAGACCTTGCAGGCACATGAGGAGGAGCGTGTCGCAATAAAGAGGGAGAAGGAAGAGGTTGCAATGAACCATGTCTTCAAGAAAGCTCGTGTGTGGAGCCGCGAACTGGCCTCCTCGTCCATTGTCATTGACCTAGATCCGGATAGCGAGGAAGAAACCCGAGCACCAAAGCATGACGCCAACCCAGAATGCGCGAATGAAGACGAAGATCCCTTCAACCACGGCTTCGCCACCTACCAGGAAGGATGAACTATCTGCTATAGGAAAATCATTTGCGGACTTTTCCCTTTATAGGCGCTCAGGTCCGTAAATCGGTCTGTAGCAGGGTGACTGCGGAATCCGCGGGCCACTGTGGGGCCGTGGACTGGAAGGCGCAGGTCAAAGCAAAGCAAAACAAGGAAAAAAGATGAAAAAAGGTGTTTGCTGTGCATCATTTTGCATTTGTCTTCTTTAACGTTAACAGTCTCAAAGCATCAACAAGTACACAAACGCATGTCTTTGAGAATGATATCAACAGTCTGCTTCTTGCACGGCTCCATTCGCAGCCTTCTGGTCAATCACGGGGGATTGTAAAAGAAGCTTAAAAACCAAGCATCTCAGATGAAGAGACCTAGCTCCAAGCACGGTTCCGCACGGAAGAGGCCGAGCGTGAAGAAGGAGTCTGCCGACATGAAAGTACACCATTCTCCAAGAACCAAGTGCACAATTTGCAAATGTCCTCTGCAACTACGCACCGATGAGAAGCCCATCCAATGCACAGTTCTTGGAAGTGAGAGTGTCGAGATCATCCTTTCCTACCGCAAGGTGTGTCACACCCGGGATTGTCGGACCACTCACCGAGGCAATTTTGCATACCATGACGGCGCCAAGGTGAACGTCGTCAACTTCTCTGAGCTTCAAAGCTCCGGCATCTATATGGTGTCAAGCCAGTTTGGGTTCACCGTGAATTACCTCAAGCAGTCTTGGTGTAGATTCCTCCGGGGCAACCTGGCTCCTGGGCAAGAAGCCAGCGTAAGAAAGATGCTATCTGAGGAAAATTTGCTTCACACAAAGAGGTTGCAATCTCACCTCATGAGAGCTTTGGAAGCTTTCGCCCTACTACAACGAAGCCCGGAAGCAGTCCTATCCTTTCCAATTGACCGCCCCTCAGAAAGTATGAGGCTCTCGCAGGAACCCCTATTGTTTCCTCCTCCTGTGGTGGTGAAAGCGCTCTGCTTTGATTTCCACTTCGGAGTGCACAGGGCTCTCGATAAGGATCTGGAGGCTCCTCGCACAGTAGCTCTACGGGGTCGGCCACCGAAAAAGGGAAAGAGATATCAAAAGGAGGAGCGCACGTGTAGCTGTGTTGACAAAGAGCGCCAAAGGACCTTTTTGAAAAATCGAACTGCCGGATGGCAATTTGTGATTGATCCTGACTCTCGCCTTGTTGTGGCTGCGAAAGAGCACATTATCAATGAGTCCAATGCAGACAAGGCAGAGGTGGTGAGAACCGCAATGCAACTGCCCAAGGTGAACCCAGACCTTCTGATCCATGATGATGCATGTCATTTTGAGCAACGAGTAAAATCCGATAGCAGCCTCAAGAAAGCCTTCAAGCAAATCAAGCACTATGCCATTGATGAATTCCATCGGTGCAATCACAAGTGTGCCAAAAGGAACCTTACCAAGACGGAAAAGTCTCGACTCCGCAAGGTGCGAACCAACATGTCTGAGGTTTTCAACGCATGGATTCGCAGAAAGAACTTTGCCCTCAACTCCATGAATGCGACCAGCCATCGCTTCTGGGTGGAGGAGGCCATCAAGTTTTGGAACAACAACTTGAAAGAAATGCCGACCTACCAGACTCGACGCTCAACTACGGAAAGCCGGAAAAGGCCGGCATCCAAAAAGTAGTGTAAAGAGATCATCTCTGTTGAGCCTGCGTGAGCACAAAAAAATGTATCTTGCACCTGTCAGCAAGTCATGCAGTTTCAAAAACTCATTCACCTGCATGTGTTTGCGTCGCAGTGCAAGGCTTGAAAAATGTCACTTCCAAGGAAATTGAAACAGCTAAAAATATCCCAGGACATCACAAAAATCCAAAATTCCAATTTTCCAAAATTCCAATTTTCAAAAAAAAACAAAAAAACAAAAAAAACAATTGTGCCAGGACTTTGCCTCACCCCCTCTTCCCCCCCATGGTCTGTGCAGAATTGTTTTTTTTTGTTTTTTTTTGGAAAATTGGAATTTTGGAAAATTGGAATTTTGGAAATTGCCTTTGGGGGAGGGGGGGGTTGAAGCAGAATAGGATTCTTTCAGTGGCGCAAAAATCAATAGAAACACAATACAAATATATATAGAAACAAAATACAAACATAAAATGAAACAATGCAAAAACGCGCCGCTCAGAGCGCTCCTTTCTGATATAATAATAATAATAATAAGAGTATATATATATATAGCAGGATTAAAAAGACAATCAATTGGCCCAGGGTCGAAGGAGACCTGGTGCCTTGTTGTTTTTGATGTTCGGCAGCTGCCAATAGCTGCTTCTGTCACCAAGGTCGAAATGCACGGAAGGCTGCAAAGATCTGCAGAGTGAGTGGGATGTTGGTGTCAGATTCATCGTATGTTGTTCATATGAACACTATGTACTATGGACTGCAGTTTTCCAACGACTACAAGCTTCCATGAGTCCATGACAAATGTTGTTGCACTACAAGCTTCCGGGGCATCATCAAACACTTGTGACCTGAAGAACTATACAATATATAGTACTATAGTTGTATTCTGACATCTGTTCTGACATTCGTCTGGTAAGTGTTCCAACGTTTGTTCTGATATGTCTGCCGGCACCAGTCAAACAGTCCAGCCAGCAAGCACCACGCAACGTCCCGCCCGAACCCGCACGCAACGTCGCGCGCGGATGTGTTCCTTTCAGTGCCCTGCCGTCAAGTGCAATGTGCCAATGCTTAAGTATCACGAAAATTATTCACTAGAGACACTCATATATTTAGGCCTGCGTCCACTTGTTCTAGAAATGCTACAGGGAAAAGTCCACGACTTTCCAAGCCAGCAGCTAGAGTCAGCTAGACATGAACAAGTTAAACAAATTCCAGTTTGCACGTTCCTATCGATGGGAGCCTTTGGAAGCTGCGCTGGGTCCCCGGGCCGCGTTGCCGCTGAAGCTCTCTCCCAAAACCTCTTCGGACCGGGCTCAGCGTCTGACGCCCTGGAAGAGACCCACATGGAACCTGAGAACCACATGGTTTTATAGGTTTGTGGAGGAAGTATCCATCTTCGGTTCCAAGCATCAGGTTCCATGTCAAGATGTGTTAGGACTCTGAAAGAACCTAATTGGTCCTGCAATAGATAGGTGGACCAGATCCAGAAGGACCCAAGTTCCAGTGTTCGCAAGACTGGACGTCTGGGCATTCCATTGACGGTGGTCGGTGAACTTCTGGGACCAAGTCGTAGACATGCACCAGGGACTTCGTTCGTGCTGCGTCCGGTGGGACCCTTGCGGACGGGGGGGCATTCAACTGCTCACACCCCAAAAGTGGGCTACAGCAGCTACAGGACACTTGCACACATGGACAGCTTTTGGGTTATGTTGCATCTTCTTAGCTAACTGGAAGGCCGCATCAAACATGGTTGCTCTCCTGAGATCAGAAGGGATTCTGCTTGGAGGCAAGCATGAACTTGATCCCATAGTGGGTCAGTGAACATCCAGATTAAGAACCACATCTTGCGGGTCTACTTACCTGTATGGAGCAGTACTATTGGTATTTTAATAAGAGGCCTTCTTAATAGGTGTGCATAGGGGGAGCCGTAGGAATAATTATATATATATATATAGATTATTCCTGCCCTCAGTTACAGGGGTTGACCAAAAACTATTCTGACATATTCAGAGTCTCCAAGAATAATTTTGTCGGTTTGAGGTATTCTTGAATTATTTTAACCTAGCAGTGTATGTTGTCTTGTATACAGTGGTTCTATCTGTTTGTTTATCCACGATGAGATGTGATGAGCCATCTTGACGGGTCTGT